TTCTTGATTTATGGAATTGATCAAGGGAAGTTACTAGAAAAACTCAAAGAAAATCCATGTCTGCAAAAATGAATTAAAGCTTAGCATTTGCTTGATTAAATGATAGAGAATCACTCTGAACAACTGAGGGATGAGAAAGTAAATCCTGCCTTATCAGAGAAGGCATTCTTTGAAGGGTAGAACATTATAGCTTCAAGCTTGCAACTATGACAAATCTGTGAACACCACCATTTTTCATCAAGTTGTTAGATCTTGAAGCTACTTTGCAAGTCAGCCCATTCTTAAGTAAAACAACAGTGTTTGTGCTGCAATATTGGCTGTGACTTGGGATGAATAAAGAGAGAATGCAGTACACATTGTCAGATTACTCATTTCTGACTCATCATACTAGAAGCATCACCTCCCACATGAAAGGCAACGTTAATGTCAAAGCATCCAGCAGCTGCTTTCTGAAGAAAGATCTTGCTTAAAAAGGGAGGCTTGAACTTGTAATCTAGGATCAATCACCTTCTAACTAATCCTGTAGTTGACTTGAAAAAGGTAAAGGGTTTAATAAGATGCTACAAGATTCAAGATATGAACTAAGTTGGATGTTACACAGTTTGAAGGAAAGCAATCCCTAAAATTATGGGAAATGTGAGATAAGAAGATAACTTCTAGCACATAAAAGGAAAAAGAAAGTCACAAAACAAAGGGATCCTACATAGGCCTAACAAGATTTTGCTGTATCCTTTGCGCAAGTAATAGGGAACATAAAAAAAGAATGGGAAAATAGAAAAATCAAAGGCTAAACTGAATTTTGAAGCACACAGAAAGCATCAATTGTAACATTAAAAAGAAAGAGGGATAAGTGAATTGCAGAAATGAAATCGAAGTAAAATAATAACACAAAACTGTAGAAATCTATATAATTTGAAAAAAAATTGAAAAAATTGCAGAATAAATGATGGAAATTAGTCAATCTTTAATGCAACCAATCTTTTAATGCAACCAATCTATATTACTCAAGAGAAGGGAGAAATGGGAAATAATCATTTAATTCCAAGGTAGCTAACATCATAGATAGCAGAGGAATATACTAGTATATCATCAAAATGTATAATTTTGTTCAAGTAAAATGAACTGTAGAGATAGCCTGATATGTCAGTTTTGATTCCTTGTCCTAAACAATAACAATAGTACAGCAAATAGGCATCATAATAAAATTTTAAAAAGGTAATTTGGATATTTACAGGGTAAGTTCTGCTTTCTCAAATAAAAAACTTGTAAAACTGCAGCTTGATTTAGTCATATTACAAGCTTATATAATTCAGCAAAGGTCATCTGTGTTTCAGTTCCAACTTACAAGCTTGTTTAATTTGGAAAAGGTCATTTGCATTCCAGTTCCAACTTACAGAAAAATCTCATTTGAACATCAACAACTCCTTGTTTCAAAAGTCTTACCAATTCTTCAGAATGGAAAAAATGAGCTCCTGCAGTAATTGAATTTAAATTCAAATTGGTTGGCTTGCCTAAGAACATCATTTTGCAAGCAGCAAGCTCCTCGGTGACATTTTTTTTTTTTTCCATCAGCAATGAAACTATTAAACAGGATACAAGCAGTACCCCAGCGCATGTACAATTTAGAGTATACTTATAACTTCTTACACATAAAAGGAAAAAGGGAGTCACAAAACAAAGGGGTTCTACATAGGCCTAACAAGATTTTGCTATGTCCTCTATACAAGCAACTGGGAACATGAAAAAAAGGATGATAAATTAGAAAAATCAAAGGCTAGACTGGAATTTGAGAAAATACAATTCATTTAGAATTTGGATGGAGAAAACGAATGCCAAGCACACATAGTAATATGGCATAACTTGTTATTGAAAAAGACAAAAAGCATCAATTGTAAAATATAAAAGAAAGATGGATAAGTGAATTGTTGAAATGAAATCGAAGTAAAATAATAACACAAAGCTGTAGAAATCTATAGGATTTGGGAAATATATTTTAAAAATTATAGAATAAATGACAGTAGACAGTTTTTAACACAACCAATATGTATTAATCAAGAGAAGGATGCAATGGGAAATAATCATTTAATTCTAAGGTAGGTAACATCGTAGATATCAGAAGAATAGACCGGTATATCATCAAACTGTATAACTTTGCTCAAGTAAAATGAACTATAGAGATAGCTTGATATATCAATTTTGATTCCTTGTTCTAAGCAATAACAAAAGCAAAGCAAATACGCATCACAATAAAATTTTAAAGAAGTAAGTTGAATACTTACAGGTTACAAGGTTGTTTAATCCTTAATGCCATGGCCAGCAACTCATCCCCTTTGAAATAATCTGAAAGCATGAGCCATTTTTGAGGCAAGTGAATGCATGCATGTTTCAAAGGAAAATAATTTTAAAGTGAATAATAAATAGTATGTAATAAATCCAAGGAATGAATGAAATACTAGTAACATTGAGGAGTGGCTTGGCTTTATTTACCTCAACAATTGGGGAAAAAGCATTTGCAATGCTTATAAGAAATGGAATGCTTATAAGAAATGGCAACAGAAGGCAACATAATTTCTCTAAATTCTCATATGAAAAACATAAAATGGTGATGCATGTTTCTGTTCACTCTAAGCTCATATTACCTTTCATTCAGCTATCTGAACGTAGGGGATGCTGCAGGCGAGAGTCCAGTAGTCTCCTTTTTCCTCAAAGCGCTGTTGTTTTAGATGCGGACAGCTGGAGATATATAGTTCTGCAAGCGAGGGAAAGAAGGCTTCCTTTGGCAAAGATCGTAGCTTCGGGCAATCAACAATTTTGAAGCATTGAAGGGAGCTTAGGTTTTGGAATAGCTTCCCAGGTATGGATTCCAAATTGTCTTCGTGCCAGATTGTAAGAGAGGTTAAAGAAGAAGGCAACACAATATCCAGAGGCAATTTGTGTTCAATTCTCAACGATCGAAGAGACGTAAGGTTTTGGAGGTCCATCGTCAAAGCCTCACCTAGGAGTGATAGATTTTCAAGTGATGTGAGCTGGCCCATTGAATTCGGCACACACTTGAGATTCTCACAAGAAAGTTCAAGAAATTTTAGGTTTGGCGGCAAACCCCCATCTGGAATGAACTCGATGCTGGGGCAGTTTACCATGCATAGCATTTGAAGAGATTTCAGCTGGTACATCGTCTTTGGGAGGGATTTGAAATTGTCACACCTGTCTATCGTCAACCACTTAAGATTGGGGGTGCATAACGCCAACTCTCCTGGTAAGGACTCTAAAACTTCACAGCGGTAAATAAATAATCCAACGAGATTGCTGACGCAATCAAGATTGGGTAAACTTTTCAATGTTTCACAATTCTCAATAGAAATGGATTGGAGTCTCGTACAATGTTGCAGCATCTTCTCTGGAAATGATTCCAGCCACTCACCACCATAAGTAACTGTAAATTCCTTGAGAAAAGTTGGTAGCTGATGACAACTACCCTGAGAAGAATAAACACGTGGAAGACCATGTAAATCCAAACATAGATTGCTATTATTATAGTCACCATCAACATTCGGTAGAGACTCAAGACCTTCACAATCTCTTATTATCAAGTTTTTAAGCGAGGTGGGTAATTTGCCTCTTGGAAACGACTTGAGAGAATTACAATCACAAATTTCCAAGTTTTCTAGTCTCGACATCAACATACTAGTGTTGCTATTACTGCTTCCATCCATCCTCATCATCATTGCATGGGGTAATGACTCCAAAGCTCCACAGTCCTCAAGCCAAAGATATTTAAGATTGAGAGGCAAGAGGCTTTGTTCTATTTCTGTCCTTTCTTCCCACAAACAAGTAAGATCACTGCAACCTTCAATATGCAAAGTCTCAAGTGCTGTCAAAGACTGTGTAAAACTCTCAGGCAAGCAAGTCAATTTTTCAAGATATGCTATTTCCAAGCTAGTGAGGGAAGTGAGATCAACCATGCTCTTCAAAAGCACCCCGTTGCAGTCTCTAATAGACAACTCTTTCAATGATGGAAGACTCACGCTCATAGGCAAGCAAGTCAGTTTTGAAATTTGCCAAATATTCAATTTAGTGAGGGAAGTGAGATCAACCATGCTATTCAAAAGCACCTCATTGCAGTCTTGAATAGACAACTCTTTCAATGATGGAAGACTCATAGACAAGCAAGTCAGTTCTGAAATTTGCTCAATTCTCAAATAAGTAAGAGAGGGGACATCTCCCATACTCTTCAAAAGCTTCCCATTGCATCTTCCAACATCTAACTCTTTAAGTGAAGAAAGGTTGCTGGGTAATTCTCCTAACAACTTAGGACAATTTTCAATCACAAGCTTATGAAGACAAGGAAATTCACCTGCACTTCCAGCTGGAGAAGACCATTCCTTCCACTCTGGCATGTTTCTAAACACCAGTTCAGCCAGTGATGGAAAAGAACCATGCTGCCCATAAAACTCAAAACCTATAGCTTCTATTGAACCCATGCCTTCAATAATCAATTCTTTTAAAACAGGTAGTAGGCCAAGAGATGGTAACAAAGTGCATCTCTTACATCTACGGAGCTTCATGGATGATAAATTGGAAAATAATGATGGATCATAAACCCAGGGAGGGAAATTCTTGCCACCATAGCAAGAAATTTTGAGACTTTTCAAATTTGAATGAGGATTTAACCAGTTGAGGACCTGCATTTCAAGCACTGATTCATCTCGATCATTATCAAGAGCAGTCCACTCCATATCAGAATCAAAAGTACTCCACTCCAAGACTAACTCTTCCAAACCATGGATGTTGTCTAACTTGGCCTCCCTAGCATCTTGAACATCCAAAACATTTTGCAAACCTAGAATACATAGTCTTCCTTGAAGTTGCGACAAATTCTTCAAATCAGACAACCTCATCATTCCACTGTCCTTCCCCACAATGAATTTGGACAATGTTAAAAGATTTTTAAGATTGCCTATTTCTGATGGCATCTCTTTTAGAGATGATGTCGCAATCATATCAAGATGATGGAGATCATTTAAATTCCCAATTGTCATAGGCAACTTACTAAGCTGTCGACAACCAGATAATAGTAATGTTTGTAAGAAGAGAAGAGAACCCACTGATTCAGGTATACATTTGATTCTTGTATGAGAAAAATCAATGTATCGAATATGTTTCAAATTTTCAAAATAATCTGGTACCTTGATTATCTGATAGTGACAAAGAGATAGCACTCTTAAGCGATTTGATGTTGGTAGGAACTCATGCAAGATTCTTTTACACCAAATGTACCTGTGGCTGTAGTCAGCATAGACACAGGGCTCTGGTAGCAGCAAAAATGTTCTCAAATGCTTTAATTTATCGAAGACTCTGAATCTCTCTGAGAATTCATGATAGTATGGAGTACATGACAAATAACAAGTTTTCTCTAATTTTTCATCACCTACACCACGTTCAAGATTGCAATATATTTCTCCAGCAACATCTACAGCTAAATCATTTATGAGGTCATGCATCACAAACCGTGATTTATTTGTACTTGATTGCTGAAAGAGTGATCTAGACAATAGTTCATGGAAACATTGATGGCCAATCTCCTCTTCTATTTGCTTCTTTCGACGTGACTGTTGCTGCAATAAGCCCTCAGCCATCCATAATAAAACCAGCTCCTTTTCTTTAAATTCATAGTCTTGAGGGAACAAAGCACAATAAGCAAAGCATCGCTTCAAGTAAGAAGGAAGATGATTGTAGCTCAATCTCAGAGCAGGAAGAATTCTACTTCTATCTTCAGATGAACTCCATATATCACTGTTTAATACATTTTCCCACTCATCACGACGCAACTTTCCCCGCAAGATGCCAGCAAGTGTTTTTAGTGCTAATGGCAATCTTTTGCACCTCTTAACAAGCTTCTTACCTGCATCTTGTAGGTATGGATGTGCATCAAAGTTCTCTTTCCCCAATGCATGTCGTGTAAATAATGGCAAACAAAAATCATCTTGTAGCAATGCTAAATTATAAACTCCATCATCTCCTCTCATCATGGTCCCAACATCCTTATTTCGAGTTGTGACAATTATTTTACTTCCAGGAGCTCCTGACATAAAAGGTCTCTTCAAGACATCCCACTGTCCATATTCCTTATTCCAAACGTCATCTAATACAAGAAGAAATTTGTGCCCAGATAACTCGTTTTTCAAATCTTCTTGAAGTGAACCAAAATCAACACACTTTTTCTCTAATTCCTCACGCTTTTTCTTCAATTCCTCACGCTTTTTCTTCAATTCCTCACGCTTTTTCTTCAATTCCTCTTGAGGTGAACCGAAATCATCACAAACACACTTTTTCTTAATTACCTGTTCTAAAATAGTTCTTGTTATTTGAACAACATCAAACTCATCAGAAACACAAACCCATACCTTCAAGTCGAACCTGGCTTTTAGTTTTTCATCATTGTAAATAAGTCGAGCAAGAGTTGTCTTGCCTAGTCCAGCCATTCCGACAATGGGAATAATAAAGTCTTGTTCAAGACTTCCTCCATCGTCTAGCAACTTATTAAGAATAGCTTTCTTATCACTATCTCGACCACACACCCAATCTTCAAGAAGAGATGACTCAGGTAGTCTTCCTGCAGTTAGATGAGACTCTTTTTTATCTCCCATAGCTGAATTGATCGGGCCCAAAGTATGCAGGTCCTTCTCAATTCGCTGCAATCTGCTAGTTATATCCTTCAACCTGTAATTGATCTCTTCATTGGGCTTAGCCTTAAATCTAAATATATTCTTGAGACTGGAGGTGACTTTCTGTCGCTTGTTGGTGCTAGCTTTAGATTTTGCATTCAATTTGGGCCTCTTGGCATCAATCACAAACTCCTCAAGTATATCTTCCATATCATAAGCCAAGTCCCTGAGATCATCAAGACATAACTTCATGAATCGATTGGTTTTTTGATTCTCTTCTGCATGTTCAAGTATAGCAATAATTTTGGGCAATAAGGTCTTCCAGTATTCCATTTGTGCACGTACTTCCCCCTTTGTATTCCGTAATTGATCACTTAGATATCCATTCAACCTTTCAAATAACAAGTCGAATGTAGCAGATAAAAGAGAACCTCCGACAAGAGATAAGACCTCCATTGGATACACAGCTTTTCTACAAAAGAGAAATCAGATTGAAGCACAAATTAGATTAATCTATTGAATACCTCACATTCATTTGACTATCATCAAATTAGTATTCTATCCTAATGGATTGATTTAATTAGTTTCAATTTAATTAGTTTCACATGTTGGTATTGCCGTGGTATTGAAAATAGAAAAGATGATATAGAGAAAACAATCAAAATATATACCGTAGGGGATTATATCCTAATATTATATCTCTCGTTTAGTCAATATAATGGTATTATAGAAGTAATATCTGAACAGGTATCTCCATCAAAAGATTGCAAATAATAAAATGAAATTTGAGTAAAAGTAATTTAGCCATTTATAGCAGGGGATTAATTAAGAAGCATACCCCTGCTTTAATGCTTAAAGCTGGAATCGCAAGGAAGATATTTTTTAGAAAATAGCTGCAAGGATGGAACAGTAACACAATAGGAGGATGGGAAAAAGAGAGAGGCTTTGGATGGTTGAAGGAGATGGATGAAGTTGTGGGAGTGACTATTTAGGTTGATATGGCATGTAAAATGACTGATTTGAATATGTCAGACTTAAAAAGAGTGAATCACGTATCCAGTATTGCATTACATATTGATGGTGTAAATCAATTATTATTAAATAAAATTAAACAGTAACATAATGTTAAATTAACTACGCATGTTATAAAAATTAAATTTAAAATCTTAAGATAGAAATTATGCCAAATTTTTAATAGGTTGATATGATATTTTTGTTTTTATTTTTTTAAAATAAAATAAATATAAATATAAATTATCTTAAATTTTTAATCATAAAATAAAAATAAAAAATATCTATTATTTTGAGATATAGAAAGTATACAACATTAGAATAACATTTTATCTGAAAGTATGACAAAATTCGAACTTCTTACGAGTCAAATTTCCTAATTACATCTATTGCAACTTCTTAATCTTGCAGTGATATTGTTTTGCTTTTCTTCAATAGGGTTATGATGGTCATTGCAAGGACAGAATAATTGGAATACAATGTAGCCGTTGACTCAATCAAGTCGCGGTTTGCTTTAAAAAATATGGGCCCTACAAAGAATAGTCTCGAGAGGCCTGAACTTGCTGGATTCAACTAACTTATTGTGGTCACTGTAATTTTTATTTAGAATAATGATAAATAAAATTAAAACTTAGGTTAAATGTTAATTTTAATTTTTTAATTTAAAATTTTACATAATTTTTATTCTTTAACTTTTTTTTGTATTTTTATGGTTATTTAATTATGAAAAATATATTTTTTTAGTTTTTTATCAATTTATTCATTAAATCTATCTGAATTTACACATTTTTAGTCTTTCAATTTTAAGTTGAGGGATAAAAAAAGTACATATATTAGAAGTTGAAGAACTAAAAATATACAAATTCAGATAGGTTTAATAGATTAACTGACGAAAGGATAAAAAATATATATTTTTCACAATTAGGGGATTAAAAAAGTATAAAAAAAGTTAAAAGATAAAACTTGTACAAAACCTTAAGTTGAGGGATCAAAATTGACATTTAACCTAAAATTTAACATTAAAATATAAAATTAATAACGTAATTTATATTATA